CATAATGAATTACAATGGCAGGGCTGATTATTTTTCCATGCATAAACTGTGTTTGAATATTTAAAGCTTAAAATGACATTACTTAGCACTCCTATAAAGCAATTACATGCCAGCTATACATCATTTTTATTTTTTAAATTAACAAGACTATGGAAAGAAGGAGTTGCTTTCAGGAAATATTTGAGTTCTGATGTTGGAAGCTGTCCTCTTCCTGAGAAGGCTGGACTGCAATCAGTAGCTACCTCTGTCATTTTTGGTCTTTCTTATCTAGGTGAGAGAGGCACCTGAAAAAAAGAAAAGCAGAAAAACAGACAAACAAAAAAAGTAGTTCTGAGGCTTCAGCTCAGAAACATCTATGTGGTTTAAGCTGTTGGTTTGGAGCTGCTTGGTTTTGTGCCCTTTGTACTTTCTGTGTTGTTTCCTTTAGTATCTTCTATCGTGTTGATGTGCTATTGAAATTGAGTGTGTGGTGTTTATTCCAATGCTTGGAGATTTGCTGTGCATACAAAACTGGGAGTACAGCCCTACAGACTATTTGTGCACACACCGTGTAAATCAAATAGCATGCTGAGCCTTAGAATATTAGTGTGGGTTACTGTGCCATAACCCAAACTGGAGAATATTCTGTCTCAGAGAAAAACAGCCTGCTGGATCTTGTCAGCTGTGCACTTAGGGAAGTGAGTGAGAAGATGATCAGATAACATGCTTATCTATGAAGACCCAAGAGAACTTAGTTTTTCATATTCACAAGTTACCTTAAGATATTGGCAGGAGTATCTAGTCCAAATAAACAAAAAATCTCCCTGATAAAGAGCATCGAGAAGCAAAGGAAAAGAGGTCAGAGCACAGCTTCTGCAACACCAGAGGATCCTGGCCAGTCTGTACATGTTCATAGTGCTAGTCTGTCTAGACAAAAGGTCTTCTGTTTAGGTGTGTTAAAATGACAAGTTAGGACAAGGACAGTGCTAAGGAAAGCTGGGGAAAACAGAGCTTCTCTCACACTAATTTCCTGTGGAGGGGTGTTGGGGAGAGCCCCCCTGATGGTAGTGTTCCCTGTCTCAACTTGTAACTGGAAGAAGTCTTGCATTTATTTCCTAATCAACACTACACTAGTCTTGACATGGCAGTGGAGGGGTATTGGTTCAATTTAATTCTAAATCACCCGGTTTTGTATTTTGGTTTGGATGCCTTACTGAATAAGTTGCTGTGGCTAGGCCATGAAATACTGGTTTTCATCATCTTTTTGACTTGGCTAGGAGAGAGATTCACTTTGTCTCATATTAGATGTCTATGCTAGAGTCAAGAGCATAGACTATCTTTATACTCAATGGGAAGAAAAGGGGGATCTTACCGTGCACAATTCATCTGACCCATTTTAAACATCAGTATTACAATAAGGTATGTAACACCTGAATTGTGTCTTCTACTGACTCTTAAGAAAGTCTAGACAACTAACTCATTAATCCATGTTTAGCTGAAGTGTACTTCCTGATTAAAGACATTTTTTAGCAAGGTAGCACTGAGTTTGCTCACTGGATTCCTTAGGATCCTCTCTAAAGCCTTACAAATATATAAAAAAAGCATTATTTACTTGGGGCAAAATATATGACCTGTCAGTGAGAAGCAGCCTGGTATTTAATTGGGTGTGTTCATTCACTTCAAAGTGAACTAAGGCTGCAGGGGTAGGGGAAGAATTCCCTGGTAAGGGAGAGTTTTAAAGAATATCCAGATTACATTTCCCCAGAAGCAAGCCCTGTTGTTTGCAAGTAACTCAACTTTACCTATATAAACCTGCACCATAAATGCAGTATTTTTTATTACTATTTTCTGTGATACAATATATTTGAAAAATAATAAGTTCATTTGCTATTCTTGAGACAATGAAAAGGTTAAATTGAAGAGGACGTTAAATTATTGTGTCTACATGGTAACACAAGCTCAGATCACAGTGGAAAGTAATCTGATACACTAAAGATATGTCATTATGCATTTTGATAATAATGACTCACATATATGTTTTCATTTCTTTATATCTTAGTTTATTGTCAACTTTGTTTTGCTTTCTATTTAACATAGGTTTTTACTGAGGGTAATAGAAAGTTTAAAATAAAATTTAAAAAATCCCTGAGGCAAAGCTATAGTGTTTGGTTATCTTCCTGAAAGGAAAAAAAAATAATGAAGAAAGTTGAAATATTTTAACTAATTTAAAATTAAGTACAAAAAAATCAAATAACTTACAATTAGACCACCTCTTCTGTCCAGGACAAATTTGGGCTGCCACCAACAGGTGTGGTCTGCTCATTCCCACTTACCCATTCCCATCTTTTCCCTGGTGTTAACACTGGTATTTGCACAGCTGGGCTGAGAATCAAATCAGGGAACAATTCTGACTGAAAAACAGCTACAGATTTGGTGTTGGTTTTGTTTAAGCAGCCTTATACAAGATAAAAATTATTGACCTGAGATAACAGATGATGACACTAGGCCTAAAGGTGCTTAGATAGCCAGTATATTTCAACAAGATAGATAGGAGGAAAAAGGAAGTTCTGTTAGTTACTCTGCAGATGAGTAAGTCAATCAGACAAGTAGACCTAAATGTGAAATTCCTCTCAGCCACCCAGAATGCGAGCATCCAGCCTGAGCTTCTCTTTCTGGGTCCATCTATGGTCAGTAGAGAAAGGAACCTCCAGAGGGCAACCTCTTCTCATTTTAACAAAAATCTAGGATGCACAGAACAAGTCACAAGTCTTTCACCAGAAAGAAATACCTATCTTCACAGACTGTCTTGACAACCATGTGACTAACTCAAGTTAGGAGTGTAGCTTTTCAGTGTCTAGCATAGGGAAAGGTAGATCATCTTCCACATGACTTGCTGTGTTCACAGAGGAAGTTTGTGGCAGAATTAAATTTCTATAGTTAGCTCTTCCTCTGCTACCACAACCATTAACCCGTCCTCTTTCTCTAAGACAGAGCTTGCTTTAATGGATAGAAGGGAATTATGAACTCTGATTAGACTTCCAGGATAATATGGTGGAATTTCAGAAACTTTTAAAGCTGGGGAAAAACAGTGGATCAATTTTGTCTGGCCTCCTGTATAATGCAGGTTGTAAAGAATGTTTGGTTATCCATGTTTTGAGTCCTGTGATTTTCATGGATCTAAGTAAATCTGATCCAAACTTAAAATTTCAGCATTTTAAATTTTAATTTGGCTCTGTTTCAGGAACAAAGTACATTTCTTTGGCTTTCTGCTGTGAGTGAGTTTCAGGCTGACCACTCTCACAGTTACTTCATGCATTGTGAGTCAATGCTGAATCATCTTTGTTTTAGTCAGCAGTTGCTAAGCTTTCCAGCAGTTGTCTCTCTAACACCTCTGATGCTCCATGATTTCTAAGAATCCAGTTGATACAAGTATGGGAATTAGGTGGTCCCAGCCTTAATAGCAGTTCATGAAACAGATGTCTTTGTGACCATACAGCTAGTTGAGCTGTTGGGAAAGTAGAGCCACTGTTTTCTACTGCTAATCTGGAGTGTTAACCTAAGAGAATCTCTGGTGAAATTTTGGCCCCCTCCAACCAACATTCCTCCAAACAGTTCCTGGGCACAATTTGGAAATTAAGACAGTCTAGTGACCAGTCCCAGAAAACAACTTAGATCTGGCCACACTCCGTTGGAATGTGACAAAGTTCAATAGAACATAGCAGAATACTTAGGCTGGGGTTTTGCTGGATGGTTTCTATGCCAGAGAAATAATCCCTCTCACATTTCATTTTCTAGTGTAGACTTAGCCATGGAGTCCTGAGCAGGACTGCTACCAGACCAGAGAACATTTTCAGACTGCAGGATCTGAGATACCCAAGGATCTGTACAGCTCCAGGAAACTAGAAGTGTAGGTGAAATTTGACCTTAAAGCAGTTTGCCTGCAGATGTTGTTCCAGAGTTCCTACAGGTCCTGGGACCATCGATGTCCCTGGAGTCATTCCTGCCCTACAGCTTTGTCTGACATGGTCTGTGTGCGTGGTCCCAGGACAGCACAGTTTTGGGATGGACCAGAGCTGTAGGTGAATTCAGCTGCTAAGGAATGAAATAAATAAAATGTCAGGAAACATAGCATGCAAATTTCAAAACTTACCTATTTCATTGGGAATTTAATCAGAAGTGACACATTTGCAAAATCTTTCCTTTTCAAAAGCTTTTTTTCATAATGAAAAAGCATTCCAGCTCATTACATTCAGTCAGATCTAGGCTGAGAAATACCTTCAAGAAAGTATAGTAATAATATGAAGCATCAAGATGTATAAAATTTATCAGTTTCTTTAGTAATATGTTATAATAAGGCCAAGTTAAAATTTGAATTTTATACTTTATTTGACTTTGTATGACTTACGATTCCTACATTAGTTCTTTTATCTGGTACATCAAAGAACCCTTTAATAGCTAGCATTTTCTGTCTTTGAAGGTACTCGATGCTGTAATCATCTCCTCTTGATCTTCTTTCCAATAGTGTAAACTGATCAAATTCTTTAAAGTCTCTTTGCTGTAAGACTTTTTGTTCAAATTGAAGAAAAAATTAATTCAGACTGATGGAAAACTTTTCTATCAATGTCACTTTCTTATGAATTACTCCTTAATAGGCATATGTCATATGACATACTTAAAAAATATTTTCCTCCTTTCAGTGACAAAATTCAGCACCAGTGAAATCGGTTGGTGAGGCTTTGCATTCTTTTTGCATTGATTTTTAGTGAGGCATTTAAAGAACTGTCAGGAAGCAAATCTGTGTTTTAGGCATCACTTGTCCCACACTGTTATTAACCAAGGTCATGTCTAATAATATACAAGATTTATAGTGATTTGTCCTCTTGTTTTCTTCACCCTTAGCAGAATCCTAAGCTTCCGGTTCTGATATCAAAGGTTTGAGAGTCAAAGGAAAACTAAACATTTCTGCAAAGATGTCAACCATGTGAACATTAGAGTAACTCTGCTTCTGCTGATTTTTCTAGGTATAAAGATTTGGCTGATACAGCAGCAGGAGAGAAGAAGAATTTGTCTGCCAAGGAACGATGTCGTCTTGTTCTTCAGCAGTGTAAATTACAAGGCTGGCAGGTTTGTGATCTACAAAGCAATTAAAATATCATTCTTTAAACAAGCTAGCTGAGTCATTTCCATTGTGGCAAGCCACCAGATCCTTTGCAGCAGTATATTCTTTTGACATTTTATATATACTTTGGGATAGAATCAAACTGATTTTCTGAGTTTTCTAGCATATGAGTAGCTGTGATCATTGTGTCAAGAAAATCAGTGTAGGGAAGGAAAAGTTTTCAATTAAGCATGTACACTGTGTAAATTTGCATCCAGGTTTTTAAAGGTATCTGGTGTACACATTTTAGTGCTTGAATGGTTTCTGAATTTCAAAAAAGCCCTGCACATTTTCTTTATGTAAAATCCTATACTAAATGCTATATTGTCATAGTAGGGGGAGACCCAAAACAGCTACTTAGGACTTCCTATCTAGTCAATGCCTTTGCAGGTGCCAGTGTGGAACCAGAGATAGACCAAAGTACCTAGTGTTATGGTACTTCAAGTAAAGTTAAAAAAAAAAGCCAGACATTGAACTGTCAACTTCCTATCCCATCTCCTTACCTTATTAGTATCCTGGTTAATCCTCACCAGCATGAGGATTGCAATGTGGTTGTCTCATTTGTTCAGAGTACTCAGTCATCTCCTTTGGGTAGCTTTGTAATTGAGCAGGACTGATTTCTTTAACATAAGCAATTTCTAAAGAAAATGGGGTTTCGTTGCACACTGTATAAGCTATTGTACAGAAAGAAAACTTCTGTGACTTAATGTGTAGGGCATTCTCCCAGGTGGTGTAAGCTTCAATTTCAGGTCTTTTCCCAGCCTAGGAGGACTGAAATCTATTCCACAAGACAGTATCCAGACCAGTTTCAGGGACAGGTATTAAGTTCAGGGACTAGACAGTGGTTAGGAAACTCCTCTAGGTTTCTTTGGGAATATTAGTTTAAAGGATGGGATTAACATAGGTCTTCTAATTCATGTATGACCTCTAAGCATTAAGATGCCCAGAAAAATTTTCTGCAACTGTTTATGAACGACTACGTTGGACTTCTTGCTATGAGTGTTTCTCAGTGGCCCAGATTCCCTAGCTGTAGGCCCCACAATAGGTTGTGAGAACACATGCATAACTGCCTTCACTTGGACACTTAAGATTTTTCTTTGGTGAAAATACTGGTTTAAGTCCCTTTTCAGTCACTAAAGTAAGTAACAGGCATGTATAGTCCCACTCCTTCAATACCAAAGAGCCAAAAGATGGACCCTGAAAAAGATAACAGTATTAAAATAATTTGCTTTCTCTACTCAGGTTTCTTAAGTCAGCTCTGAGGTATATTCTGCATCCTTGCCACAAGTATCCCTATAAAAAAAACATCATTAATATCTAGAAGCTGTACCTTCACTTACAAGTGCCTGGAGCTGAGAGTACCACTAACCTTCAGAATTTATGTGGGACTACAAGCCTGACATTGGGCAAAAGCTGTTTAACAGTAATTGCATATTGTGCTCCAGTCACGAAACACAGAGCAGAATGCCTATGGAGTTTATTTTCCCAGCAGCCAGTAACAGTATTAGAGCACGAAAAAAAGCAATTGGCTGTCAGTGAAAGCCTACAACTCAAGACTAGTGGTTCTGAAGTGATTGGCATTTGAAAACAAGCCTGAAACCTTGAAAGACAAAAATGTAAAAAGGAAATTGCAAAACAGAATCCCTCTATCATGCAGAGGACTGAAGCTTGTGATCTCAAATAGATTTTAGAGGTTCTGACTCCAGAATCTCATTAACACCAGGAGAAGTCAGGTGTGCAAAACTACAGCAGTGCATAATGCATTGTCCTTCAAAACAGAAAGAAACAAAACTCTTAAGAAATGCTGATAAGCTAAATGGAATAGGAAGGTTTGGGAGTGAGAGTTATATCATTGTCACTCAGTGACTAAGAAGCACATGGCAACAGACAAAGCTGAAAGGAACAAGGTCTGAAAAAACGAGTGACCTTCTCCTTACACCTTTTCAAGACACAGAGAGCTATGACAAACAAATAGAAAGATGATAATCATGGAAGAAAAATCTAGGAGAAAATTCACTCTAAGTCAAGAAAATTTCTTACAGAGAAATGCCCACTGAATACAAGCTTGACACCAACGTTTTGTATAGGTGATACAAAACCATATACACAACTATCAGCAGTAATGACTAATGTATGTGTCACATAATCTCTTTCAATTATCTTTTTGATTCATTTGACTGATCATGAAAGTTGAACTTTAAATAACAATCTAAATGAGGAAGCTTATACAATCTGCAGTTGTCATGGGTGCCCTCCTCTATGCTTTTACAGCAGAGGACTGAAAAGAGAAGAAAAAAATATTAAAAGGGAGAAGGAGGGAGAAGAAACTGAAGGGAAAAAGGGAATTAGGAACCCAGAATAATGTCAACTAGCAAAGTCAGAGGAAAGGAGTCATCTGTAGTACATCGCTAAAAATCATCCAAGAAGTAGGGGGTTACACATATAACCAGTTTATTCAGCCACTGTTGCCAGCAGTAACTACTTCAAATGAATCACTGCTGGAACTGAAAATCTATTTGATGCAGGGGTTCATGAATAAGTCAAAAAATGTCTTCCCCAACACTGTTACCTTCACTTCCCTGAAAAGCTGTTGCACATTCAGATAGAAAAATTGACCAAAAAAAAAAAAATAAAAAGATAGCTAAAATACCCTCATCAAATATGGTGAAGTGTAGGGGAAAGCAACACACATCTGAAATCAACCTCCTGCTTATATGTCATCATCAGAGGATGAGGTTGCCAATAAACTCCCCAGCAGAGGGGGAAAAACAGAGATCTGGACTTTATAGCTGAGTGAATCTAGATGATACTTTATTTAACTTCCTTCTGATAATGTACCTCACCATACCATTTTGTGAAAGATGATATTAACTTGGAAGAGGGGAAGGTAAATCTGTGTTCTGAAGTGAGAGCCCAAAACCGATTAAAGGAAATGGTTTCTTTGTATTTATTTGCTGCTTGACAGGAGAGAAAATTTATCTTTTCTTTCTCATGTAAGTTGTGTTTGCAGAGTGTTTTATTAACCAACAAAACAACAAACCCAGAGTCTACTCACAGAACACGTTCTTTCTCCTCTTGTAAATACTGCAGTCTGTTTAAAAATGGAGGAGAAGTGCAGAAGATCCAATACCAGAATTCAATTTTGGTTTATTTTCTACTGTTCAGTAGAGCATAAGAGCAGACACTATCAGCCAGCCAACGCCTGGTGCTTGATTCAGCAGCTTCTGTGTTAGAAGAAAGTATTTATTAGGGAAGTGTTGATAGGTTTATGAAATGTTGCTGTTACTTGGGTAAGCTGAGCTGGAGATAACTAAACTAGGACAATAAAACAGCTGTTTCATTGAAGCTGGCATACCATGCAGTTTCAGTCATGCACTTAGCTTAACTACTGGAATTATAGAAGTGCAGAGCTGCTAATGAAAGGCAGTTTTTGCGTTCTTGACTCTGTGCACAGCCTAGATAAGGTGTTCTTTCACCTTAAATGTATACTTGATCATGACAAGCTTAGCTACTTGCTGTGACTTATAAGCACACCCAGTGTAAGAGAAACTCAGAGTTCTAAATCAAAACAAACCATTCTTACTCCAGACAGAGTGAAAGTAATAGACTTGTTTAACCCCTGGAGAAGTCAGTGAGAGTTTTGCTATTAATGTTAGAAGGAGCAAGATGATACGTAGTAACTTTAGAGTTAAATTGAGTGGAAGTACTGGCTGCATGTAAAGCAGAAGAATCTCCTGCCCTCCAGAACATCTGAAGGCCTTTACATTAGGAAACCCACATTTTCAGTGCTGTGTTTATTTATTGTCATGAAGTGATGTATTAGCTAAGCAAAGCCTACAATCCTAGCAGCATGACTAGATTACAAACATCGTGCTTTGGGAGAAGTACAGGACACAAACAGTCCTTGTCTTTTTTTAGCTGAAAAGAAAGTTTTCATTTGTTTGGATTATCATTCCTCACACTGTTAAGCTTGCAAATATAAATTCAATAAAGGAGAGTTCACTCATAGCTTACTGAGCGTTCTCATTGAAACCTGGAACTTTACATTTTGTTTAGCTAAGGTCAGCGGTCTGCAATTAACCCTTCTCAGTTACTTCAGATGGAGCTTGCTGAAATGCAAACAAATTGTATCACATCGGAAGTAAAACAAAACATCAATTTGATTTGGTCTTGCTATACAACTGTTAAATACAAGCACTGCTAAGGCCAGACTTCACTAAAAGTGAATCTTGACTGCTAGAAATGCGTGTCTGGTTAAAAGATAGCAACTCTTAAAAATGTCTAATAAAAGCTTTATCTTAGTTTATCTTTCCAATTTTTAGCTTGCTGCTTCTAATCCACAATGTTTCCTTCTTATCAGTAGCCTTGAATTCTGAACACAAGAAATCATTCATTTTGGAAATAGTAAGACAAGTCTTAAGGTTGAATGCAGTGATCCAAAGAGTCATCAGGTATGAAGTAAGCAGTACAGGGAAGTCAGTCAGAATGTTTTTATGAAGCTCCAAGTCAGCATCAGGTAGTTTCCTGAAACAGATATTGTGTTAGTGCCAGTTCACATTTTTACAACTACAGACACCGCTAAAGTTGTTTCAGGAGCCTGCAGTGTTTCTGGAGAAATGGTCTGTGCCAGTGTGGAGCTGTATTATTAAACTTCCATTCAAAAAAGATATTAAAGCAGAGAATAAGCCCTCAATAAAGAGAAATCCTAGAAGCCCATCTAAAGATTTTAAATTCTTTTAGTGCTTCTAGAACTGCAGAAGAAAAATGAAGTCTCATCCAGAGTTCTTACCAGTCATAAAGAGAACCATATTTCATTATTGATCTCCAGGTGTTTCATTTATTGGATTTGATACAACTGTCTTTAAGTATTTTTTTATTTCATTATATTAATAAACAGTATTATCATACCACAGTCCTTTTTGGGAAAAGTATATTTATGATTAAATGGAAGAGTACAGTACTAAAG